TAGTTTTGGTGAACTCTTCAGGGTGTTCCATCTGTTGTTTTCTCAAGTCTGCGTATTTGACAACAGAGACCACTTTGATATCAAATTTCAACACGGAGTTTGCGGGGATCATTCCCACTGTTTGTCCACCATATCCCAAGTGTGGAGGAATTGTTAAAGTAACTTCATCATTCGCACAAGTCCCCAACAAGCCTTGTTCCCACCCTGGAATCACCTTTTTAGCACCAATTTGGAACGAAAATGGTTCGTCTTTGATTGAAGTCGTGTCAAACATAATTCCATCTTCTAATGTCCCGTTGTAATGGACTGAAATGAGATCGCCCATATTGACTGGGTCGGAGCATTTGGTTTTGTGCTGTCCATCACTTTCTCTTCTTTCAAATATATTACAGAAGAAAACAAACTCTAAAAACGACTTCTAAAGTGTTATGCGTCGACTCCGCATCAGTCACAGTGGAATATACCGCATCGTCGGACTTTCTATAAAATCTGTTTCCCAACGAAAGAGCTAAAAATGTGAAGAACACAAAGGCGGCCATTTGACTTCAAATTCTAGTTCCGAGTTTATCAATTGAAACTATAATAAATTCGAATAGTAAAAATGCGAACAATGGTTTACGTAAGTAATATAATTAGTAAATGAGAGGTATTAGAAAAGTTCAATCCAGAAAGCGACGGATATGCAAAGAATGACGACGGCAGTAACTATGATAACCATTTTAGTTTTCGATTCGCTGACATTTTTGAACTCGACGGGTTCAATGGTACTCTTCTCAACAGTTTGCTGGGTTTGAGGAATAACATTTTCAGGTTGGGGAAGGTCGGCGGGTGGGACTTCGACTTTCTGTTCTTTTGAGTTGCGCTCTTCCCTTTTAATAATCCTTTCTAACATTAATTCAAGTCGTTTTCTCTCTTTGAGAATTGGTGGAGGAAGGTAAACATCAGTACCCTCCCCAATTTCTTTGATCATTTTAATAAGCGTGTCTTTATCATACTCAATAAAAGGAGATCCTGTCCTCTCTGGTGTTGAATAACTCTCACCTTTCTCATGTGGTAAAGGGTTGGGAACATAAGTCACTTTCTCCACTTTTTGTTCCTCTTTTTTCTCTTTATGTTGTTCTTGATGTTTTGGTTTAGGTTTAAGTTTGGGTTTCTTCTCTTTAGTAACAGAAATCCACTCATCTCTTCTTGTAAAAACGTTCTATTCCATTTGAAAAATGGTTTAAAGGCAGTTGAAGTTATATCAAAAAACAAACTCGTCACCAGCTTCGTCGGTCATCACTTTCAATAATGCTTTATTTGATCTTTTACATTTTGAAATTTTTGAATTTGTTTACTATTTTTGGAAAAACAACTACTCAATTTTATTAGTTATTATAGTTTAAATTTTATTGTAATTTACTTTCAAAAAGGAATAGTTATCTTTTATTGAAAATTTACAAAAAATTGATTAAATAAAAAGCAATTTTGTTTTAAATTATTTATTTCAGAGTGTTGTTTAGATTCATTATTCATTACTATTAATTTATATATTATAAATAATAAAATTATATTTAATTTTTTTTTTATTTAAACAAAAAAATAAATATGTTAATTTGGGATGGAACAAACAAAAGTGAATGATTTATTATTAGTTTTTCTTTTTATATTATTTTATTGAAATTGTTTTAAAAAATAATTTTTTATAATAAATAGATTATAATAATAATAATAATGATTATTATTATTATTAAATAGTGACGAGTTATCAAGTAAAAAAACACTATTTGTAAATTCATTTTTTTTCAAATTTTAAACCGAAATACAATCAAATATAGTATTTAACAATTATAATATTAGTATATTATAATATAATATATTAATAAAACAGTAATAAAGATTTAGTTTTAAAATAATCTAACAT